GTCTTCCACGCCGCTAGCTACCTCTTCCAGCTTCCACCTCAGATACCCCAGAACTCTCGCGATCCGGATGACATGACTCGAGACGTTCGCCGCTCTGAGAAGGGCCCTCAGACCGAAGCCAGCCTCGATGCTGACCTCCTAGCCGGCCTATGGGAAGATGCGCCTCTCGCGCGCCTGCCCTCTGATGCGCCGGCCGAACTGAAGGACATGGTTCAGATCATCGAGAACCCGAAGCGCGTCTATGCCATCCACCGCGCCAGCCGCCGGCACAACTTCCAGATTCTCGTGGAAACGTGCGTATTCAATAGTCATCCAACCTCCGTTGCGAGTCCTCCATGCTAATGAGCCCCCTGATCAGATATGTCCTACAGCTACGGTATGGATGCGACTCCAAGTCATGTACAACCTCGACCTGCTTCTCCTGTCGCAAGCGCCTCGCAGGCAAAGCGCCAATACGCAGATACAACATCACAAGCGCAAGGACCTTGGCAGTGTACCTGGCCAGCCAGGATAATCCAGAGACTGGGCTCTGTCCCTACCTCAACCCTTCGAAAGAAACACCGGCCGCCCTGAGCTCCCTCATATTTTCCTCCAACCCCGCGCCTCCAACATTCAGCGATCCCTTTTCGAAGCGATCTGGTACATCGGGGGACGGTAGAAGGCGGAAGTCAGGTTCGGGGCCCAGGATACATGGCGAAAATGGCAGTTCCCCGAGGGCTACCCAGGGTACCGAGGAAATCGGTCGTCGAGCAACATCCTCCACGCACGAACGCTCGCTCTTTGATGCAGCAACAGGCACTGCACACCCTCCATTCAAGGTTGCCGAACGACCCGTCAATAAGGATTACCGTTCTTTCGCAGCCAATGTATTTGGGACCGTCGCCTTCAAGATGTTGGAATGGCTCACTCCAGCTGGCCTGGATGCTATGTCCCAAAAGGTCGCTGCGTTGGAGGCAGAGGCGACACAAAGTCCCTCCAAAGAAGAAGCGCAAATGTTCCGCAACCCATCAGGCCTGTCGACCCCTATGCAGCAAACACCTCCCATGACGCATGCAGATAGGAAAGATCTGGGCGAACTCACGGACCCGGGACCGGATACCGTCCTCGCTCAGGGGTCGCAGGGACTGCACAATTCGAGTGCGACGATGCCCAGCCCACGGCCTAACAAACCTAAGAGGAGTTCAAGCACTAGGGTGCGGGCAAACTCGAAGCCCAGTAGGAAACTCTCCATCGAGCCATACCCGACATCTTCGTTGCCCGAAGACGTCACGTCCGGCCTGTCCTCCCCAAGGTTGAATGGAGGAGTACATGAGAAACCACTGCGGCCACCAAAAACGTCTCACGTCAACCCCTACGCCATTCCAGAAATCCCCTCAACACCATCATTTTTCGATAACGTACCGCCTCAAAACCACGCCATCACGATTGTTCAAGAACCGGACTCGATACCCAGTACGAATCACGTCAATAGTAAACCTCCGCAGCCAGCAGAGAATCCTGCTTCTCATGAGCCAGCCCCAGAAGCTCAACCTTTGCGGATTGCACATCCTGCAGAGAATCCCAAACAGAGTCAAGACCCGCTAGAAATATCGATTGCCGACAGCTTGCTCCCACAATCCTTGACAGTACTCAACGTCGAGGTAGTTGATCTTGTGTGCGACATTCTCCAGGACGACGGCACATCAGAGTCTCACCTTCTTGACCCGCCCAGGATTACCAGCACGTACACCACACTCAAGGACCGCGCTTCCAGAATGCAGAGAAAACATAGTTCCCGAGCTACCTATCCAAAGAGACTGCGGAGACAGTGGAAGCTTTTTATTGAGCAAAGCCTGTTTAATATCTTGAGCGATCCCGTCAGTTTAGTCGCATCCTTCGTCAAGGACGATGAATTGCTTGATTCTCACACAATATGGTACTGCATGTTGAGGCTCACTCGAGTGGCTCCGAGCCTAGTATTTCACAGTTTGTGGATGGCCGCTGGAAGCCTATTTAGAGCACCCAAGTCACTGCAATCCCTTCGCTCCCCCGCTACCAGAGTGTTCCGCCGAACCGACCGATCTCTTGCCAATGTCGAGGCAGGCCAGTTGCTGTCGATATGCCTCCACGCGTTAGTGGCCGCGGCCCCGTTGATTACAGACTCCAGAATTCTGTTCGACATGTCACGGATCCGTTCTAATGGACTAACGCTCGCTGGAAGCGGTGCTCTCGCGCGGCAGCCAGCTTGGCTCTGTCTTCTCTATGAGGATGCCTTCTCGAACGACCTGGCACTCAGGCTGGCGAGGCGTTTGTTCGCCGCCATATCCGCCCGTAAGTGTTTTGCAGACATGGCTGCGCAAGATGACGACATCGAGGACAACAAGGAGGAATTTGACGCCCTTCGGCCGCTTCTGTCCCAACTCGACCTACTTAACTCGTACTCATCTTCCACTCCTGGGGTGGGACAGCTCGAGCGAGCGGGCCACGAATCGAGGGTTTCTACACTACTTCTAGACTGGGCCAAGACGGTGATGCTTCAACAATGGGATGGCCAGCCGGAAATCTCATACGACAGCTCCTTCGGTGGAGCGCTGTCACTGATTGCTGCTATGTGTAAGTCGTTCATATCATTGCGCTTGGGAACTGTCTTGTAGCTGACCGCCGTATCAGACGAGAAACGACAAGACTTGCTTCTTGGAGACATTCAATTCCGCGTGGATTATTTCGCTGAGAGGTTGGACTCGATCAATATGCCTGTCGCCTGGCTCACCCATACCTCCTCGAGACAGAAGAAGCACCTATTGGACTTTCCCTTCATCTTTGAACCATCTACCTTGGTGTCGTATTTCCGATCCATCAACTTCTCGAAGATGAGCCGAAGCTATGAGGAATCGAGCTCGCTCCAAACACGTATGAAAGCGATTGTTGCTCCCGGAGGCCTCATCACCAATCCCCACCACAAGCTTGTTCTACAGGACCTTCTTAAAACAGCCTCCTCAAAGTATCTGATCCTTGAGATTAGTCGTAAGAACGTCATTAGGGATGCTTTCGATCAACTTTGGCGGCGAGAAGCTAGAGAACTGCATAGACCGCTCAAGATTCATCTTGGCGAGGACGCCGGCGAAGAGGGATTCGATTCGGGCGGAGTTCAGCAGGAGTTCTTCCGACTTGCTGTTGCTGAATGCCTCAACCCCGATTATGGCGCTTTCACGGTCGATGACCGGACCCGCATGACCTGGTTCGTCCCCGGCTCCGTCGTACCAGCCTGGAAGTTTGAGATCCTTGGCCTGTTGGTGTCATTGGCTGTCTACAATGGCCTGACGCTTCCCATCACATTCCCCAAAGCGCTTTACCGCAAGCTCCTAGGCGAGCCTGTGGATGAGTTGCACCATATCGCCGACGGATGGCCGGACCTGGCAATGGGACTGACAACATTACTTGAGTGGGACGAGAAACAGGGTCTTGTCGAAGACGTCTTCGCACGCACATACGAATTCTCCGTGTCCATGTTTGGGCAGCCCATTTCCCGGGAGATGGATGGAAAGGCTAGCAGCTGGCCACAGTTCGAGGCGACTGCTAAGACGTCGCTTGTGGATGGGAATCCCGAGGATGCTCCGCTCGTCACCAACGAGAACAGGAATGCGTACGTCAGCGATTACATCAAGTACCTGACAGACGTTTCCGTTCGCCCGCAGTACGAAGCCTTTGAGCGTGGATTCCGAGCTTGCTTACATCCCAAGGCACTCGGTATTCTGACTCCACCACTTCTCCAATCACTCGTAGAGGGCGTCCAGGAGATTGACATTTCTGAACTGCGAAGATACACCAGATACGTCGGCTGGGACGCGACCCACCGCGGCGTCCGAGACTTTTGGTCCATCGTTAAGCGCTATGACGAGAAGATGAAGAGACGGCTGCTGGAGTTCGTCACCGCATCGGACCGTGTGCCCGTTGGCGGCATGAAGAATATGCAATTCGTCGTTCAAAGGAACGGCGAAGAGGAAGGCGAGGGTGGACATTTGCCCACCGCGTACACATGTTACGGTACGCTTTTGCTGCCAGAGTACAAAGATAAAGATGTACTGAGAGAGAGGCTTTCCATGGCATTGGAGAACGCGCAAGGCTTTGGGTTTGCTTGAGCGACTACTTTTTGGGGGCGAGGAGTTAGTTGTATGTTAAAATTAGCGGAACAAAAAAGTGACTGGGCATGGAAGAGACAGGAGCTTTCGTCGGGTCTTGATATCCTTGGCGCTCACTACTTACTTGCATTGGGAAGAAGAGAAATGAGGTTCTGCGTCTCTAATTATTCTGCTGTTCACTGCGCTATAGTGACTCTATTTTTGTGATTTCTCGTGGTTGGATACGAGATCCCATTCAAGACCCCCTTGATCTCCCCCTCGACTTACACACCTGTGTAAGCGGAGGCATCGAGTTGGGTGATCCAGCAAAGCTACACTGTAGGTGAATGCCGGCCGCTATCCGCATCAACCCAGCGGCCATGACACAGTGAAGAATACTATCTCCAGACAAGGTCGGGGGTTTCTCCGTTTAGTTGACCACGTCTAAACAGCTGTGAGAACCCTGCCTCCACCACATTCTTGTCTGTAGTTTCTGAGCCCGGTTCCGCAGTCTTTTATCAAGCCCAGAGGAACCTTACTACCCATAAACATATCTCCGTAAGGTGATCCGCCAATCCATCTCCGAATGGTTGGCAGCCTCCCCGGTTCGCGAAAAAATGTCCCGTCGCCCTTGTCATACACGCCAGTTGCTTCCAGGTTGGGGAGGGGGACTTTTCTTTTCTTTTTCTCTGAACTATCCTCGCTGGAACCGTGGAAAGTGCGAGCTCTGATGGACCAACAACCTCTATGGACCAAAACTCACGATAACTCCCTCACTTAAGCCGTGCCGGGGACCTATCTCCGTTGACGCCAAACCTCCCTGATTCCCCGGTACCTGGAGCATCTCACCAGATCATCTCGTACCTGGATATCTGATGGAACACCTATTTAGAGGCAACTTCTCTCCCATCATTCCTGACATCCTTTCCATCCTGCATCCCACTCACATACCACTTACATACCCATACTGTTCAGTTCCCACATACATACACCAGCCTTGAGGCCTTGCTACACCTAACTTGCTATATCCTACTCACACACAACCCACTTACACAAGACCTGACAGCAACAACACTCTCCACTCTACCCTCAGATCAAAGAATCAAGAGTTTATAATGGAGTCAATTCGTAACGTCAGCAACAAGTCCGCTATCAACATCATCAACTCTACTCTCAAGACTACCACCATGGCGACCGCCACCACTACCGCCACCACTACCGCCGCCAGTACTTCCCCAGGAGCGTCAGAATCAATCATGACCCTCCACCAACGCATCGCAAAGCGCCGCCGGGACTGGAACCTCGACCTCACAAACGGCCCAGTCTCCTCCCCAGGTCCCAAGGCCAAGCACCGTAGATCTCGCAGCTGGAGCACCAGAATCGGCGTCGACGCCCCTTCCTGCCCAGAACGCCAGACTCCAGTCTTGTACTTCATTGCCACCTCAAAGCGCGGCAATAACATCCTACTCTTCCCTCCCTCTCCCCCCCCCCTCCACTTCTAGCAAGGACGTCATCAACGACGAATACCCCCTGGGCGATGACAGTTCAGAGGAGTACGCCATCTGCCCCGACACAGACTCGCTGCGCTACAAGCAAGAGTCTGACGTCGGCCTCTGGAGCGGGCCCCGTTCCTCGCCTGGGCCGAAGGCTAAGTACGCCAGGTCCCGCTCCTGGAGTTCCAGGCGGTCGGACAGCGGGTACTCCTCGGGCGGCGAGGAGCCCGTCGTCGTCGGTGAGGGCAGCGAGGGCAGCGATAGTGAGAGCGACTCCGGCCTTGGCTTCTTCCTTGGCTTCCCGGATGACAAGTTCGTTCTCTACGACAGCGGGGACAATTCCGACAGTGAGTTCGACAGCGACTACGACTCTGAAGACGATGATATCGTCATGACCGACTCGTCTCCCCTTGGCAACTCTGGGGACGGCGATATCGTCATGGCTGAATACGACGGAGATGACGACGTCGTTATGGCAGACGTGGCCGATGTTAGTGAAGACGATGACGATATCTTGATGCCTGATTATATCGAAGACAACGGTATCATTATGGCCGATTACAGCGAGGACGTAGAGGTCGATATGACCGACTATATCGCCCTCGCGAACGACGGCGATAACAACGGCCCCATGTTCGGTTGGGATAGCCCGAGCGAACTTAGGTGGTCCTCGCCTCCTGCCTCCCCTGGCTGGTCCGAACCAGAGGTGCTTTCAGGATACACGGCCACCAACTGGGATAACGGGGTGCCCGAACTGGTGAGGTATCTCGAGTTCGACTACTCGGACATCGAGTACGATGGAGAGTACGATGGAGAGATACCCATCGTGGTAATCAGCTTGGCCAAGGATGAGAAGGATTACAAGTGAATGATACGCATCATCGCTCTCCCCCCCCTCCCCCACCCCCCACCCCCAACACAAAAACACATACACACACTACCCCCTTCAGAGATTCCTGGCTGCTTGAAACGGCCTCGAATGGAAATAACGGCGCTTCGATTCACTCTTGTGGGGCCCGTTGCCCGGATAGTAGTCACAGAGTTAGGTGACTTTGTCCAGGTAGTCGTCGGAATTAAGCACCACCACATAATCAATGATGCTCGTCATGTCGCAAGGTAGAAAAGAAAGGTCCACTTTCTAGACACGCTTATTGCCGATCCGTTGAGACCCATAGGCGGTGTCTCGTCTGATCAAAGACATCTTCCATAAAATGGATTCCGGGCGGCAATGGAAGCGATTTGGCATATGATGGTGTCTACATGAAAGAGATCAAGGCAGCGAGGATTCAAGAGCTGGTGTCAACCAATAACTCCCACCATCCTTCATCACTATTCTTCATCACTCCCTCGACCACACACTCACATACACACATACAAAACACAACACCAATAGCCACCGAATGCAGCTATTGCGAGAGTCTAGAGCACTAGCTTAGATTGTAGGACGCGAAGAAGAAGAGAAATCGCGATGTGCTGGGTACTGTCGAGCTAGAAATCACTCTCACTGACCCACTGTATTGGAGGAGGCGGAGAAGGAGGGATATTGCTGCGCATTGAGTACTGTCGCGAACCTGGATGAGAGTTCATCGTGAGGTAAATGGCTCCATGGTGGTATGCAGATCTTCGTGAAGAGGCAGATCATCGATTCTATTGTAGCATAGGACCGCAATTCTCATTCTCTCATTAACTGAATCGCACCATGACGTGATAAAACTACCTGGCCTCCCTTCGTAACATCTTCATCATATGCCATTATTGCAACCCGTTCAGAATCCTCCCTGTCAAGTCAAATCAGTCGCGCCCCGAGGCGTAATCTTTTCTCGTAAAACATCACATTCGCTCAATATCCCGGAACCATGATAGCTTTCAGGAGCTTCTCATATGGTATATCGCCCACTTCAGGACCGTAGCGGTCAATCGCGACCTGGCAGAGATCAATAGCACTCTGCTCCAACTCCTCCAAGACTCTCTTTTCGTCTATGCGGTGCTTTGGCTTGAAAGGGTCGAGCAAACGATGGAAAGATGTTTGGTGTAGATTTCTGATGTCCCACACCAATTTGAACCTTGCGATGAAGAGTTCTTCCTCCTTTCCAGAGGAACCAGAGGGAACAGGCTCGGTTTGTGTGCCATGGCCCATATTTGTCAACCCCTGCCGCGGCATGTCAACGCTTTCTTTGACTGCTTCTGCGCGCTGTACTGGTATCATGACACGGGTTGACGGGACCTGGTCACATCCTTCCACCGACATTGTCGGACGCGAATCCGCACTAAATGACCCTCTGTTAATCGTACCTTGGGCACGTCTTACAATATCAATCTCTGCGGATTCCATTGTGTTCAGCGACGCAGAAGCAACCGCATCCTTTATCCCGTGGTTGATACCGCCAATCTCAATACTTTCTGGCGATGGCCGTTGCTCTTGCCCGATGACAAGGCTTGAAGTCCGTGATAGCGCTCTGCGTTGGAAATGAGCAGACGAAATAGTTGGCAGCGGGATCGGTGATTTGTTAATCAATGTCGTCTGGGAAGAACACTTTTGCTTCTTGTAAGATGTATTGTCGATCACATCGGCGTCTTTTCTCTTGTCGAAGTTGGTCCTGGTCATTTGCGCTCCTTTGCCTCGCTCCGCCGATCCTGGGCCTTCAGTAGGTTCATTATCTGATGTACGAGGTCTGAGGAGTGGTCCCTCTTTGCTCACACCCCGGGAGTCTTGGTTGAGCTCTGGAGTCCCGGGGTGCGTGGTGCCTTTAGTAATCTTTTTCTCTGTCCCACTTCCGACAGAGAACGGAAGCTGACGGCGGGGAGGAAGCATATCTTGAATATGGGCCCTAGAACTAGGCCTCGTTGTTTGTTCGTCGTACTTGGTGAACGCGACTTCATCGGCTGATGGACTGAGGTTCCAGTTGCGGACGTCCTGCAGGGCTGGCGGTGAGCGCATCGATGGCCGCTGGCGGGAAACTGTTGAAGGCGTAGGGGCCGCGGACATGAACTCTGTATTCGGCGAGGCTGTATGCGATACGTATTCATTCGGGATCTCTGTGAATGCAGTGCGAGATCGGTTGAAGGTGTGAGATGTCGCAAATCCATGTGAGGACTGGTGAACAGATCCTGCGCGTTGACTGACGGACGTTAAAGGCCGGTATGTCTGCGCAGCTACACTACTGGCTCGAGGTATTGAGTGGCTTCCTTCCGGAACAATTTGAGTTCCCAGAGGGGAGATCAACCGATGTTGGGAGTCCTGCCGCATCAAACTTGCATTATGCCTAGAGGAGTAAGGCTGGGTCGTGGTAGAAGTATGGAAGTCACCTGCAACCGAAGATGACCGAAATTGTTGCAGTGGAGTTGGCTGACGTCGAGATGATTGCATTGGCCTGGCCTGGAAGCCAAGACTTTGAAAAAGACCTAGTATTTGGTCTGTATCACTCTGGCTTTTGAATCTCAGACGAATCTGTTGATCGACCTATACATGGTTAGTAGTCATCCTCGGTACGGGCAAAGAATGCGAACCTACAATGCGGAGGCTCTCTCTAATGACCAGGATGTTAGTTCCGGGGCAGTAGCCCAGCATGTACTCGGCGTCTCTTGGAATAGCTCCATCCCGACTGCCAAGTCCGAGCTTGAGCTACATTCTGTCAATACGCTTATCCTGTTCAGAATATGAGGCGACTTACAGCCTGCGCACCTTGTCTCGGCACGATGAGAACATGGTTTGGCTCCCTGTTGGCATTTCCCCGGGATCCCATAGCATCTGCGAGAAGTTTCTCCTGTTTCAAGTTAAGGACGGCATTTTCGACATTTGTTGTGCACAACCAGTCTTTCTCATGGCGGCGTCTCTCAGAGACTGTCGCGTGGACCAACGTGAACGTCCAGTTCTGTAGCTTCTGTCCCTTGGGCGGCATGTTCGACAATACACGGATTCGCGCCAGTAATTGTAATACGTTGCAAAAGAAGAACCTTCAAGTATGTCTGTAGCCCGAGAAAACGAGGCCGGTCAGGTCATCGACGACAACGAACTGTGGAGTTAGTAAAAGGAGGCATGGGTGTATAGCATGTCGATCTAGCGATAGGGTTCTTAGACACGTATCGAAGGATCGGGTAGAGCAAAGCAATGATGAACAAATATTCCCACGGCATGTGAGGTTTGGAGAATGAACTGGAGGCAATCGCAGGCCTCAAGAGATGAGGTTGAGTAGTGAATGAAACTGGAAGGTACCTCGATTTTTGGAGAACTGGGTAGGCTGGTAGGCAAGTGACAGTCCGGGCAGGGGTTCGGCCTCTTTCCACCCATGCCCGAGGTGCAGATGGAAGGTGCAGCTCATGTGGATCTAGACCAATTTTGGATTTGAGTGGTGCCCTTGGCGCAGGGACCATCCGATAGAGATCAGAGTCACGTGAAGATAAGCCCAGAGGTAGCAGGGGTTTTTTCAACGTCGCGTAAAGGCAAAACACGGTTGGTTGGTTCTCCCGGCGCATCACTACCGATCGCAGAGGGCCCAGAACTTGCGCAAGAGCACTCTTCATCCCCACCCTATTCCATTGGGTGTCGACAACGCGTTCAACAACACAAAGAATCAGACAGTTCTTGTCGCAACACCTCGCGCAACCTTTTCCAACAACCTTTGCCCTGTGGAAGGACCCGAAGCTCGTCTGCGAGCCTCACAGCGGGCTACGGTCTCGAACAAGTAAATCCAGCTTTACTCGCAGGCTGCCGGTCAGTTTGCCTCGCTCAGAACGTACAATTCCATTTGCGCGTCTACTAACAAGAGGACAACAGCCTGCTCGATCGATCGACCCATCATGGCGCCCAAAGAAGCTGAGGTCGAGCTTCATGCTATCAGCCGAACCCCCGAGTACGAGGAATTTATGGCCAAGCTGAAGGCCTACCACCAGGAGCGGGGCACTGCTCTAGAGGCTGAGCCTAAGGTCGGACCGGTATACCTCGATCTCTACAAGACTTTCACCCACATCTGTGCGAACGGTGGCTATGATAAGGTGTCTGATGAGAAGTTGGCCTGGCGCCGGATGGCGGAGCAGCTCGGCATTCACTCGTCCAACGTTGCCTCAACTGCCTTCTCGCTGAAGGAGAAGTACTACAAAAACCTTGCTGCCTACGAGATCAAGTTCTTCCACGGCAAGGAACCTCCCCCAAAGGACATTTTGGAAGATGTCTCTGCTAAGGGCGGTGGTCTCTTGTCTCGAACCAGAGAGAACTTCCGCGGTGCTAAGCGCGACAGTGGCACCGCTGCTGACTCTGCCGCGGCTTCCGGCGACGATGGCACCCCTACACGAGAGCGCCCGACTCCAGATGCGGCGCCGACATCTAGCGTGAGAGCTTCTCGTGGTTTGCGTGAAGCACCGCCCCAGAGGGTCATCTTTCAACCCGATACGGGCCCCGCTAGGCCGACTCGCCACGTCTCTGGTCAACAGCCGAGTCACCTCAACACTCCTACCCCAGGCGGCCATTCGGGCAGTCATCATGGAACCCCGCAACAAGTTCAGCACACTCCTGTGCCTCTTCCTCATCAGCCAAGAGCTCCGCCGCGGGGACCTAGCAGCAGCTACAATCCGCCCAACCCAGAAAACACGTCAGCATCCGTTGAATCATACCTTCCGCGCTCGCTCCAGCCACCGAACCAGCAGCATGTTCTCTCCATACGCCCTGTCGATACACCAAGCAACAATCCGGCCGAGTTCGCTCGCCGCCGACAAGTGGCGCGCTCCCTCCTAGAGCCTCCTCGCCGCAGTGGACCCTATCCTGGGGGTAAAGATAGCCCTGTTCTCTCGTCTACGTGTATCAAGCCGCTAACTCGCTTTTAGTTGGATTCGAAGGACCCAATATCTATATTCGCTGTCTGATGGCACTGCGCTCTGCCATCTTTGAAGAGCAACAATTCGCGCTTTACCACTTGGTTAAGATCAGTTATGAACGTCACGACAAATTCAAGTTCGAAGGTTTCCCCGGCCTCAGCGAAGGTCTCGTCGAAAAGGTTCTAGAGATTGGCAGCATTTTCTATGACGTCAAGTGGAAGATCTCCTGGGTTTCGCAGAATGCCGCCGACAATTTCGATACCCTCGATGGCAACGAAGGAACCGAGGATATCCTGGAACGTATCGACATGTTGGAGCCAAAGGAAGTTAACGAACTCATTGTGCCCGAGCACCTATCTGATCAGATGGTCCTCGTCAATGAGGCTGCTTTGACTTTAAGGAACATGTCACAGCTCCGCGAAAATGCTTCGCATTTGGCTGACTTTCTACCGATCAAAGACTTGATCTGCATTGTCTTGAGCCTCCCCAAACATGAGTGGTTGATTGAGCTGAAGCATCAAATGTTGGACATTGCAGAGGCGTTGACACCCTACTTGGAGATTGATTCTCGCGACCCTCTCTACAAAGTTCTCATGAAGCAACTGAAGGGCTCTGACGATCGGGGTATCATTCTCACGGCTCTCCGCGCTCTTGGGCGTATCTCGATGAACCTCGAAGCTACCAACAGGTTGGACAAGGTCCCTACAGCCATTTTGACCAAGATTAGCGAGCTCATGCTTCTCAACGACGACGAGCTCAAAGATGCCTGCCTCGACTTCCTCTACCAGTACACTGCAGTTGTCGGCAACGTTGATAATCTGGTTAAGTCTCTTAACTGCGAGCACCTGATTTATCATCTTGTCCGTCTCCTCTCGCACAATGCTAGGCGATACCAGGTCGAAGAGGTTCTGAAGCCTGCAGTGAAACCGCTCATCAGCAGCGACCCGGCCGCTATGCCCGAAGACCTGTTACAGGATCTGTTGAAGCTAGAGGAGCCTGAACGATGCAACCAATGGGTCAAGTGCTTCTTCGAGGAAGTTAATGAATCCTTCGTCACCCAAATCACAGCTTGGCAGGCGTACCAAACTGCCTTCAAGGCGGCGCTCCAGGCCATTGACCAGCCTCTCATCACTCCAGCGGACTTCATCAGAAACAGCTGTGCGGCGTATAAGAGCTCCAAGGCTGAAGTCTGGGCTGGCACTGGAAATCCCGGCCAGGTCCAGCAGAAGTTCATTATCCGCGGAATCCAGTGTCGACTCCGGCCTGTGGGCCTGGACGGCCAGGTCTTTGTCCGCTGTCTGTGGGACGCTGCTTCTGGTCGGCCCAACGAAAAGTGCGGCCACTTCTTCGGAACCAAGGAGACCATGTGGAAGCATGTCGTCTCTACCCATCTCAAGTGGGTTCGGAACGACAAGGGTGGTTTCGACAACAAGGAGGAAGAGCTCAAATGCCAGTGGGCCGATTGTACCAAGTACAAGAAGCCTACAAAGATGAAGCTCGCCCTCATGGGCCACCATCTTCAAACCCATTGCTGCCAGAGCTTCAACGGCATCGCCATCAATGAGAAGAAGGCGCATGCGGGACCTCAGCCTAGTGACAGTCTTGTGGTTCACTTCGAAGAGACGGCCACAGCTCCTGATGAGCAGAACCCCGCAGCTCCTCCTCAAGCAGCCGGTATTCCTCTCAGCGCGGTGCTGATTCTTCGCAACATTGCCCGCAATGTGGTTAAAACAAGTGCCCAAGAGGATCTGCTCAAGCAGCATGAGCTTGGAGGTGAGGCTGGTGGCTGGAACGAGCGCCTGTTCCGCAACGTTCTTCCCCGCCTCTACGAGATTATGACCGAGAATAAGGTTCTGGTAAGTTTTTTGCCCTACTCCTGACTACCATTGTGGCTACTGACACGGGATTTCCATAGCGGTCTCACGTTTTCTCCCTCATCGAATTTGCCGAGTCTGAAAGAGATTTGTAGACGCATTCCAGTAGCCTGCCTACTTGAGATGCGTCATGCATAGTGTCCCGTTGCAGAGACCTGACCTAGCAGATGTTCTAGGTCCGGTCTGGCGAGGCTCATTTGGCTTGGCACACGACAGTGAGCACATGAGGCCGTAAATTCTCAAGGGGAATTGCAGTAAGCGACATCGTGGCTCAGACTATAGAGCGATTACACGACGGTGGGAGAAGATGTGATAAAAACTGTACTTTTTTATTGGGATGGCGAATACCCAGGCGTTGAGGAGGACGGCCATGAGAATTAGCAAGCAGGATGACGACTTTGTTTTCCAACCCCCAGCTGTAGAATATAATCAATTGCGATGAGAGAAACACCGTTGCCAACACATTGTGGAAAGTGTCGCTATTCTCCTTCTTGCCAGAGACATCTTTTGCTCCGTAGAGAAGAAGTAGATGTTCTCGACATGGATCAGCCTAAAATGCACGGTTCTCATTCGGAGTTGAATCCGGACGGGAGAGTGTGGATTCTGACAGGTTGCCCCCCTCCCCCCCCCCCTCGGTTTTTTTTTTAGCGCCACGATACTGCCCCCTAGGACCTGGGATTCGGAGGTATCGTGAGGTGGAGCCGACAAGCACACCATCATTCAACGCAACCTGTGCTTTTCTTCCCGCTGTGGAGACGGGGCAACTCAAATTCAACCCACCTCACGATAAGGCTGGTTTCCTCTCCCGTCGGCATTTTACCCTTCTCCCCCCGCCCCCTTGACCCCAGGTGAGGTAGTTGTAGTTATAGTGTACCTAGCTCCAACCCCTGGAGCATCCACCCCCTGAAGTGAAGCCCACGATCGTCGTCAAGTTTCCACGATGATCGCCGGTACAGTTATGTTCCTGCCAACTCGCATTCGAAGCTTGTTTCCTTTGGTGCGGGCATGGGCTCGGGCCGAAGATCTCTCCCGTCCCTTCCACCCACCCTTTTTCTTCCGAGTCAAAGCTGAAGCTGTAGCTACCTTATGTAAGGCAATCTGTGACGACAAAATTCCATTATTGGCATCAAGTCATGGGACACCTTTTTCTAAGAGGGGATTTCAATCCGTGCGACTGCAACCATTACACAAAGCCTCGAGATCAAGTGTCACCTATAATGTCACCAGCATAAACCAGTCTGGAATGTAAGAAAGACAGCCTCACTCCTCCATACCCCACAAAGTCACTCAGGTTCACACAAAGGTCACCGTCACGTTGCATTCCACGAGGGCTCGAAGAGGAGAAACACCAAAATAAAAGTGACGTAACACAAAAGACGTGTCTTTTCTCTTTGGATTCTATCCTGCGAAACTTCTTTGTCTGATCTGTCCTGTCTACCGGGGAATCCCAGAGTCCAATTCCCAAAATCCATCTTCCTGTCCGTCCCGCTCTATCCTTCCTCTCTTTTGCAAAGTCTGGTTTGCCCAAAGCCACCGAGGGGGGGCAAGACCCAAAACCATTGAAAAAAAGGAACCTCTAGTCCAAATCCCCAAATCTTTTTGGTTTGTTCCTGTTGACTCCTGAAACTACCTTGCTTGCTTGAGAACAAACACTTGCGAGAGAGAGAGAGAGAGAGAGAGAGAGAAATGATGGCTGACAGTCGAAAGTCAATGAACTGAATGGGTGCTGTGTGACCCTTGGACCACTGGGGGGTATAGTCCCGGAAGACTTTTGTCGGGTCTGCAAAAGGAAAAATAAAGCATTGACAGTAAGAAATCGGCACGAAGTCGCCGTAGTGTAGGCGACCATGTCGGAGCGATGATGCTGGTTCCACCGGTATCACATTTGCCCATGGCAAACATACCGTCTGCGTGGGTCAGCGATGCTCTTGATCGTAGCTGCATGACGGGACGCAGCCTGCAAGCTCAATACTCGCCAGGTACATGCTGACCTGCCCCAGGGCAATGCAACAAAGCAAAGCTCGGGGAATGGCCATACTTGATGCACGGGCTTAGTAGCAAGTGTAACCACCGTCAATGATGACGTTGGATCCAGTCATGAAGCTGGAGGCATCGGAAGCCAGGAAGACGCAGAGACCGTTGAGGTCGTCGACAGCACCAAGGCGGTCCTGGGGAGTCATGGACTTCCAGATCTTCTTCTGGGCGTCAAGGGCAGGGACACGGTTGAGGGCAGTGTCCATGTAGCCAGGGGAGATGCAGTTGACGCGAATGTTGTACTTGGCCCACTCAGCAGCAAGGGACTTGCCGAACTGGATGACACCGGCCTTGGAGGCGTTGTAGCAGGACTGCTCCTGGGGGTAGTTGACAATGCTGCCAGACATGGAGGCGACCAGGATGATGGAGCCAGGCTTGCCAGCCTTCATCATGGCGCGGCCAACAGCCTGGGACATGAGGAAGGAACCAGTCAGGTTGATGTCGATAAGACGGCGGAACATGGCGGGGTCGTAAGTCTCGGCCTTGATGTTGGAGCTGTTCAAAGATGGAGTGTTAGTGGGTCTCGCTAAGTGACAAGGGGCGGATACTGCTGTGCGTTTTGTGCACGCTGCACTATGGGGATTATGACGTACTCAGCGATACCGGCAGAGTTGACCAGAACATCAGGAGCGCCGTAGAGCTCAACCACCGAGTCGACTGCAGCGTTAATGGCAGCGCCGTCACGGACATCCACCTTAAAGAAGGTGACGGGCAAGCCAGTCTTCTGGTGCAGCTCAGCAGCAGCCTCGTCACCCAACTCCTGGTTGGCATCGAAGATGACCAGGGCCTTGGCACCGGCCTCAGCGCAGGCACGAGCCATGTAGTTGCCCAGACCACGGGCACCACTGTGAATCTAAAGTTAGTCGTGATGTTTTTTTTTATTGCTTTTTATTTCGAGGGCAGAATGATCAATTGGAGCAGTGATTCTCGCCATTGGTATCAATTGAAGGGGGAAAACGTACCCTGTGACCACAATGGTCTTACCCATGACAGAGAGCCTCTGCATCATGGGAGGCATAGAGTCGAAGGTCTTACGGGTGAGGGGGACGACATCGTCGTTCTCAGGGCCGGGGACGGGGGACTCGGTGGGAGGGCGAGAGTCGTGCTCGCGGACGGGGATGGAGAAGTGATCGGATTGACCAGTGCCCTTGGCATCGGGAGCGTAGACAGAGACAGGAACCTCCTTCTCGCTGACAACATCGCTCTTGAAGGCGCGAGCAGAGACAGAGAAGGGGCGGGCAGCCTGGCTGCGAATGGCGACGCGAGGAGCGAAGCGGGTGGTGAGACGGAAGGCAGAGCGAGCGGCGGCCATTCTTGCGATCGGTCGGGTGGTGATGAGTAGGATACGAGGTAGAATTGATTGTGGTAGGTTATGAGGGAAAGAATTGGTCAACGCGTAAAAGATCTTGACCGGTGATGAAGGTGCGAAGATGGAGGAGAGTCGCAGAGATTCGCAGAAGTCGAGCTTGATGGGAAGAAAAACAATGATGGAATGCGAATGTGGGTGGGAGGAAAAAAAAAGTTGGGCGAGCAAGCAGGTGGAAGGAAGTAGGTGTCCAAGTTGATATAGGTAGGTCCAAAGGGGGGAAGGGAAAGTGTGGCCCGTGTAAGCTAAGGTAAGGAAGGAAGGGACCGACAGTCGAGACGGTCGAGGTGAGGTAAGCTTAGGAAGATAGGTACGCAAGTACGGTATCCGTAGCGTAAGAAAAGGTAGCTGAAGTGGAGGTACCTTGTGTTCGCCGACGCAGGATGATATGAGGCAGACGAAGGGTTGGGTCGAGATGAGGTACGGAGTAGGGATACAAGGTGGTCTCTTGTGCGTGCCTCACCTTAAACGCTACCTTACCTTATGCTGAGCTGAAGTGAAGGAAGCTGTCCGTATCGGTACCGTCGCCAAGGTAGCTTCGTACCTTCCTAGTGTTGCAAGTGATGGACGTGGAGATTCCGAGCGTGGCGTGCGGCGATTGCGGAACCGTTCTAGTGCGCGCCAGGGGTCCCAGTTTAAAATAAATAAATAAAACAAATAACTATCTAATCACCCACGAGAAATTCCTGGTGGTGAACAGCGGACACTGGAGCTCATGTGGGTGTCGACGCGGTGAATGGCATTGTTTCGGCCGGTCGGGATGGCGATGCTAGCTGGGCGAGACGGGCAATTGGGTGATCTGGGCACACCCACTTCCAACATGACTGCGGCTTCTACTCTGTTCAGAGACTGCAGATGCTGCATTACAGGGGTGGTGGCCACGGGGGTTCTCTCGCTCGGGATTGGGGGTAACAAGATGGAGAGAACACCTCACACCACGCGCTTGGGCGGCCATGAAGCGGCAAGGACCTGGATCGGCCTTGCGTGGGCAGCTCGCGGGATGAATCCGAACGCTACAGACCCAGCGAGCGTCACCTTGGCAGGAGAAGTTTCGAAGCATTCGAGACAGTGCTGATATGAATAAGTACTTTGCCATTCTGTGTCCGTATACTGATCCGTATACTGACTGCGTTGCGATAGAAATGGCAGGGCGATGAAAGAGTCCTCATCTAGCGTACGGGATACCTGAGGTGTACCCTCGCGGCCAGTTTTCAAGAGCGTGTCAGTTTTCAGGACACCTCTCAGCGTTCTGTACGTAGTAGGTGAAAGCGGCCCCCATGGTGACCCTAGCAAGGCGTTTGTTTGGCAATCTGGCCGTACGAAGTACTTCGCACTGAACGGCGGCACTTCTGCCTTTGGGTTCAGCATCCCAAATCTGGGAGCAAAGTTGTAGGTTGGTGTGGAAGCTAGGATTGACGACGCTAGCAACGAGGTGTGGAGTGCAGCTTGCAGGCCTGGTGGGTGGCGGCTACTCCGTCCTGCACCTTGCCCGGCTTCCTGTCCGTCAAGCCATCCGGGATGTCTTAGCGTAAAAGACCCCCATGCGAATCCACCCTACCGTAAAATGGGGCCAAGTTGAGATCCTGGATATCGACTGTAGCGTTTGAAAAGGTGCAAATACGTCACCGCTGCTTGTTTGACCCGCTACACGTCCGCCGCCTCACATCCGCTGCCACAACTCAAAAGGGCAGACGAGACGAAGGCCCAAAATCGGTTGAGTCTGTCGAGCCCGTGAGTTCATGGTCCCTGAGTCTTGACAATCAGATTCTCAACCTACTGCATGAATGCCGGGCCACGGTGACAACGCATCCGGCTGCACCTTGCCAGTCAGATGGGACTAGATGGGATGAAAGTCGTCGCTGCTATCGCAACTACGATCAACGTAACGCAGAAAAGTAAGAAAAAAAACCAGAGCTTGAGTCTAAGTCGATTTGACATTGCTCATTGGGTGTACTGGAGATAAGGATAGGAAACCAACGTCATCAGAAGTGCATGCCGCATGCTTATGGACGACGGGAACTGCGTCTAAGGCGTCATTTCATGAGCCACGGTCTTGGAAGACTGAGAACAACGAGATGTTGCGTTGCAGCAATCGTACTGGGGCCTTGCTTGCTGACAGGAACTCTCCGACTGGGCCGACAGTGTTGGAAATCGTTCTGTTCGTCTTGCCTCCCCATAGGAGAATTCGTTCCCAAACCTTGCCTCTAGGTCTAGCTGGACTGGCGTCGGATTCTGTTTCTTGCAGAATTGTATCCCCGTATCCAAAGATCGATGAGGCTTCCATCCATTCTTTCAGTCTATGAGTCTCCAAACATATGTTAGCTTCAGTCATCAACTCTGCAGGCTTGAGGGTCCCATCCTTTTGCATCATAGTCATAGTCAACTGTCAGAAGGGTCCACAACGGCCACTTTTAGTTGCAACTCCACTGGCAATGACGGACTTTGCGGGACCCCTATTTCTTATGGGTCTGAGTTGATTCAGCAGGTGTGACGATTCAGGATTGCTCCAGCCTGACAAACTCTCGATCTTCGCTCCTCACAACGGTACCAACGGCGCGAAAGCTATGCAACGGCTTAGGTGGCAAATATTCGCGTGTCGATCACTGCTTTGCTTGTCCTAAGCCCTCTTTTCTGACTAGCCTGCGGGAATGAATTGACGCTATGATGCAGACAATGATCTCGGGGGGTTGAGTCGCTCCAGATCGTTCCTGGAATAACATCTCTGGGCTGGGGGAGACGATTGCGCCGCATCTTGCCTGCGGAGTACATTTCGAAGAGCATGACGTTGCGTTGCCGCTGTCGAATTGATCAGACGCCTCGTCGTTCAGCTCGATTCCGTCGAAGAGCTCAGGCCAGCATAGTCTTCACCAATGATTGAGGCTCTGTGCCGGATCGCAACTTCGGTGCGGGCCGAGGTGCTTCAGCCGGTTGGCTTTTATTGTTCGCCATACGGAGTAGGTACTCGTAGAGGCTCGTCGTTCAGAAGCGCCACAATGACTTGCTTCGCGACTCGAATGAAAAACGCGCGAGCGGTGCAGTGTCATGCAGGAACGACAGCTGGCTCGACCCCAAAGCCTGTACTCCGTAGTCTCATGAGCGCGTGTCTGAGATGCGATGCAAGCTTGCAAAGGTCTTAGATGCTTTCGTCTCCGATCTAGCTCCTCACAAAGGCTTCTGGGGTTTTGATGAGCGTGTCTCTGAATACCTGGGCCGTCGGCAAAGCTAGCGACGCAAGACTACGGAATGGCTGTTGGTCAGCTGAACCGAAAGAAATTGACCACAACATAGCACCTGGGGAACCTGGGGATGCGTATGCAATCTCATTTTCCGTCGTCTTTGGCCTGCCTGCCAAGTGTCAATCGTTTCTCTGCCCCGTTTAGAGTTTTGAGAGCTGGCAAACGAACTAGATTGTCACTGCCCAGGGCATGAAAAGATAATGGCAAGCGTTGCAAGTTTGTCGCAAATTTGACCTGCAGATATCGATGGCCGGCCTCTAAGGCTTACACAGCAGCGAAGGTGCGAGGCGTCGAATTGCCGTTAAAGAGCCAAATATTGAGCCTGGCGAGAGCCCCAGCTGCTTGTCCATGTTTGAGTTGACAGCATATCCGTATCATTGTGGACTGGCAAGACTGACAATCCGCATCACGGTTTCGACTCCAACGTAATCCTCTCCAAACCAAACAGCGCGTCTCATCCACACAACAAAAAACGTGGGACAGAGAAGTATCCGGTATTGCTGGGGTTTCTGAGGCAGGGGTAGCTCTGTTAGTCTTCCCCTAAATTGGCATTCTCGAATAGTGCCCTCACTGTCGTGTTCCGCTTGTGCCCCGGCAGGCTGACGGGGAAGCTCTGGCATTCTGGCACGTTGGTCCCCAAGAGCTTCCAGGCCGGCCTAGAGTATGCGTCGAAAGGCTTGTCTGTGCGCCGGATAACGTCCCGTCTCCGTCAAGAACCATTATTGCCTTGAGCCTGTCGGGTGGCAGATGCTGCGCTGTTGGTCTAAATTTGGTGTTGGTGCTCCATTCTCCCTGGGGGCTACAGCCGTCTCAGCGTTGTCGGCCTGCGCCGGTAACAAGGGTTGACAGCAGAAGGTCCCTAAATCCCAGTCTCGGACGATATCCTACCCACCTGTTTCGTGGTAGACTGGAGCGGTTGTGGGGGCTGAGATTGGATTTCCTATTCTTACTTCATTCTCCGTAAGTTCTCCTCAAGCGTGCCAAGATGGCCGTGGGCAATGGACGTTGCGCCGTAAAACGGTGTGCGTATGTAAGTACTGTATTGATATGAAGATGCCTCGTGTGACTTGAATCGTGCCTGGCAACTCTCCTAGGTCATTGGCAATCTGAGGTGGTTTGCTGTCATGGAGCTGCTGCTAAGGGCGTGTTGGCGTACCATGCTGAGTTACTTACAGGGGCAGTAAAGCTCTAGCTGGCATATTAAGACCGAGCGGCGCGGGTCCTGTTCCTGTGCCGTCCCGGCAAGGCGGGAGGGACAGACAGCCTAGAGTACCGGTAGACTAGTGATGAACGAAAAAGGGGAGGTCCTCGTCATGGGAATGTTTGGGGGAAAAGGAGTTAGCTGCGCCTCGCCGAATCCCTCTTCTGGTAATTACCATGTCTCTGCCAGGCATATTAGAGAGGATCCCGGGGAAGGAGCTAAGCTCTCGAAGTGGCATGCTGTGACTGGGGTGTCTCAAAAAAAAAAAGTTGGTCAGATGACGGGACAAGATTTTCAAGGAGTTGAGCATCCGGAGGTCGGCTCGGTCGAAGCATCCCTGGGTACCTACCTACCTACTCGAGAGCGAGGAGGGCAAGTGCAGACATGCAACAGGTACGGTAGCTGTAACTTTCTTTTCCCGAAGACTGAAAGCTAAGAAAAAGGAGGCACGGGGGAGCGCAACGGACGGGACCGTGACGGGGACGGTGGACATCGCCTGCCAGTGCAGTGAGGTGATGCATTAATACGAGTTGAAAAGGAGCCGTGGGGGTTGTCAAAAAGGAAGCAACGCCTTAAGGTAGTTACCTAATGAGCACCTTGGCGGATCATGTTGAGGAAGGAAGCCACGTAAAAGTCGAAAGATGGAAAGTACTTGTCGCGCTGATATGTTTTTCCAGATCTCCCCTTTTGACTTTCTATTCCCTCGTTTCCCCCGCCTCAGAAGTGTGTCTTGATTTCCGTCTCGTCTTTTCAAATGGATCAAAAGGGATTTAGTCGTGTTGACGAGTATCCGTACCACCTGGAATTGACTGGAAACGGGGCGCGACGATCATGCCGGCAGTAACACGGGTCGTCCCTTCCCCAAGGGCCAAGCGCCTGGAGTCCCGACGGGAGTCTGGAGCTCAAGTGTGG